GCCGGACAGCGGCCGCAGCGGACACGGAAAGCATATGTGCCGGTGCTGCGGCAAGGTGGCTACGCGATTCTCATGGCGCTGTCTTCGCCCGAGGCGAACGGCCGCGACTGGCTGGCCAAGCCCGAGGTGATTGAGCTGGCCCAGCCGCACTGCGACGCGTCCTTTACCGTAGCGCCGCCGGGACGGTTTTATACGGCGTGGAAGTCGATCGAGACGCTGCTCAAGAACGATCTCGTGGCCGAGCGCGGGCGGCCGCACAAACGGTACGCCCTCACAGACGAGGGCTGGGAGGTGGCCAACAAGCTGCGGGCGGCCGTCTTGGGCGGCGCGGGCGGCGCGCAGGCAGCGCTAGCAGCACAGGCCGCCCACTCCTTGCCGATACCCGATGGACAGCCCGGCTTGTCGGCGGCGGAGCTCGACCTGGTGCCGGACGGACCGGCCGTGACGTCCGCAGACGTGCTGCCCGAGATTGCGCCGGTCGAGCTGCCGGCCGGGTCGTTTTCGGTGCGGCTGGTTCTCGACATGCGCGAGCGCGTGACGGGCCAGCGCACGTACATGGAGGACGAGCTGGCCAAGAAAGAGGCGAAGCCGCTCGTGCGCGCACTGTCCCTGGGCGACGCGCTGTGGGTGGCCAAGTGCCACGACGCGTCTCTCCTCAGCCGGCTGGGGGCCGAAGGCGACGAGGTCGTGCTGGACTGGATCGTGGAGCGCAAGCGGCAGGACGATCTGGTCAGCAGCATCCAGGACGGGCGGTTCCACGAGCAAAAGTTCCGGCTGCGGCGGTCCGGTGTGCCGCATGTGGTGTACGTGATTGAGGAAGGCGGCATGGACGCGGACATGCTGATGAAGCACGAGGAGCGGATGCAGTCGTCCATTGCGTCGACGCAAATGACCAATGGCTACTTTGTCAAGACGACGACCAAGGTCGACGACACGATTGCGTACCTGGCGAGGATGACCCGGCGGCTGCAGAGGCAGTACGCCAACAAGCCGCTGCACGTCCTGCCGACGGCGGCCCTGACGGCGCAGAACCATGTGCCTTGGCTGCGGGCGCTGCGGTCGGCCGATCGTGCCGGCTCCTATTGCGTCTCCTACGCGGCCTTTGCGTCGCTGACGTCCAAGTCCGAGACGCTGTCGCTGCGCGATGTATTCCTCAAGATGCTCATGTGCACGCGCGGCGTGACGGGCGAGCGGGCGCTGGCCATTCAAAAGGTGTGGAGCACGCCGTACGAGTTTGCCCAGGCGTTTGAGGAGCTCGAGCGCGAGATCCAGGCGACAGACGACGGCCTGGGCGCCGTCGAGGACACCGTCCGCAAGCGCAAGCGGGAGATGGTGTTTGACAAGCTGGGACGGCTGCCGGGGACGAAGCGGCGGGTGACGAAGCCGCTGTCGGAGAAGCTGGCCGAAGTATGGGGAGGTGCATTGTAGGAGAGGAGGGCTGTTTTGTTAATGATACCATGGGTGCATTGGGTGCATTCGGTGCATTGGATTGGCGTTTTTTGTATTACGAGGCACTTGGTCCGGTTTTGGTCATACGATAGGACGTTTATATTCTGTTCATGCTTGTTTTGCTCAACTTTTGTTCCAATTGCTGCTCTTGCACGCTCTTTTCCTACTTTTTCTCGGCCAGCGCGGCAGCCACCGTCTTCTTGACCAGGTCCGCCACGCCGCTGCCGCCGGCCATGGTCTCCAGGTAGCCGGCCATGCTCTTCTCGGCGTACTTGGCCAGCACGTCGACCTCGACATTGATCGTCTCGCCCTCCTTCTTCGCCGCCAGCGCCACGCGCGACTGCGTGTACGAGATCAGCATCACCTCCCACCAGCCGCCGCCCTGCGCCTCGGGCTCGTCGTTGACGGCCGTGACCGTCAGCGACGTGCCGTCCAGCGCAATAAAGCCCTTGTACACGACGTACCGCAGCACGTCGCGACTGCGCGGCGCGAACCGCATCGTCTGCGCGTTGCCGTCGGCCGCCACCTTGGTGACGGTCGCCACCGTGTCCACGTGGCCCTGCACAAAGTGCCCGCCCATGCGCGTGTCGGCACGCACGGCGCGCTCCAGGTTGACGCGGTCGCCCTGCTTGAGGTCGCCCAGGTTGGTCAGGCGCAGCGTCTCGGGGGCGACGCCGACCTTGAACGACGCCGGGTCAAAGGCGGTGACGGTGAGGCAGCAGCCGTTGATGGCAATGCTGTCGCCGAGGTGGACATCGGACAGCAGCGACGAGCCAGAGGGCAGGCTGACCGTCAAGGAGGTGCCGCCGGTCTCGTCATGGGGATCCAAGGTGAGGATTTCTGGGAAGGGGGGAGAGTGGAGATGTCAGTGTCTCTGTCCGTGTCGGTGCCTCATTATGATGGGAAATTGCCATGACTGAGATGAGGCGAGGAGCTTTGTATTCCTTTTTTGTGACGTTGATTTTGTGAAGTTGACTCACCTCCCACCTCTTCGACAATGCCTGTGAACATCGTAGCGTTTAGTGGCGTAGACTCGGTTTGAGGCGCACAAAAAACAGCAAGACAAACAACAGTGTAAGAGTTCACCAGACGACAATATATTAAAAAAGGCCAGCGACTTGTTGAGTCAGGACGATGCCAACGCTAACGCGTGCTTCCGTGCTTCCGACGTCTTCTCCAACAGTCGGCCGAATGCGGGGCCATTTCAGGGCGCTCCCCTCTACGGTGTTTGTCAAGATGACTAATACAGTCTTATGGGTAATGTCAATCAACCATTTTGTTTCCAGCGTGAATGAAGAATCGCCCTACAACAATAAGATGCTTTACTCTATGCCGGCTATCGTTTCCACTTGCCTGTATGTACGACATACATCGAAGATACATATTGATTGCATTGGCCATGACGCGAGATTCTTCCGCGCTATGGGATGAGGTGATGCCTGGAGGACAGCATTTGCTCATTCATTGATAGACGAGGCGCCCTTTGACAGTCTTTTGTCGTTCATTTCCGGCATCTAAATATATCCGACAAAGGCGTTTTGTCATCGCCATGCATGGGGTGCCTCGAAACGTCGCTGATTGCAGTGTTTCATTGTTAAACCGTGTCCAGGACGACACTGCAGACATGAAACAATATAGATGCAACGAACGACCAACAACACCACCAGCGGTCAATAAAGAGCCAGTAGGACTGTAAAACCAACGTTCTCGGTCGGATGTCCCTTTGTATGGTTCAGTGTCCTCAATTGCACCTCTGTTTTAAAGGTCGGCATTTTCCGTGGCTGTCAAAGCTGGTCTCGGCGTCAAAACTCAACTTTGTTCTCACCCAACCCTTACAACTCTTTATTTTGACGCTTTTGACATAAATTGGAATCGGACGTAAGTACTCCTCCAACCGATATAACCAGTTTCTGATGCACGCAATGTCCTTTCATGATATATGCAAGACAAAGACCGTGGCTGTGAAAACACCGAGCACGCAAGTGTCAGGCCTCAGTCAGCCCAGCCAGGAACGAAGTGAGGACCTTTGACGTCTGATGGCATGCAGCCATGGTATTCATGACATCAACATAAGCCTACCACGTCGTGATAAAAGAACCTGGATATAGTTTACAACTTTTGTATCGAGGCTCATGTCTCGAATTGTCTGGAACCTTCCGGCTCAGACAGCTTGTATATCCGTCATACTAGTACCATTTCGGCCTACAAGAATATGCATATGCATGATTACGTCGATTGTACGAAATACACCGTACTCTCCTACGAAATCCTGCGCTTCAATCGTCATCGCATGCAGGATTGATCACTTGCCCATTGAATCGCGTAGAACACTTTTACTGGGGCAGTTTAGGGCGCCGGGCGCTAACCTGCTTCAGCGACCGAGGCACGGCCAACCCGGGGGCAAAAAGTGAAAAGTATTCACTACGGAACGTGTAGAACCGAACGTTTTTTTTGTCAGGTATTCTTGGTGATTGATCACGCGACAGTGTTTGACAAGTTTGCTTTCCCGGTGTCATCTGTTTCGTATTTTCCTCCCAAGATTGTCAATTGAGCCGTTGCGATTTCTCACGAGTTCTGCGTTCAAGACGGTGGAAATTGCAAGTCTTTTGCTAGACGCCTTGCATGCACTGAATCCTCCGCTGAAGCCACTGAAGCCACTGAAGCCACTGAAGCCTGGCCATTGAGGCCACGGAGCTCCACTGAGCGCACCGAATCACAGCAACGGTTCTTGCGTCATAGCGCTTCAGTAGCCAAGCCCAGGCACTGCCATTTTTGCGCGCTTTTCCTCTTTCAGCAACACTGCACGAGAGCACAGGCCGAGTCCTACGCCCCAGCGGGCCAATAGGAAGGCGTGGTTAGGTCCTAACAGCGACAAAAAAGTCTGCCGCCAAGATTGCAGATTACAGGCTGAGGCCACTGGGCGAATGCGAGACGCTTACGACGAACGCCAAAACAGGGAAGGTGGTCCCCCTGGAGCGTCTGGAATGTCGACAAGAAAAAGGTATGTCTCCTTTTCCCATCTCTTTTAAATACCCAGTACTTTGCCAATTCTCGTTTCTGCTCTCGTGATCATTCCTTTCTTCCCGTTCTGTGTTTGGCTCGTATCGCATTCATTCTTTTTTCCCCTTTCCATTGAAACCGTCTCTGTGTGCAGCGTTGTCTCAGCCTGACTTTGCCCACTGTCTTTGATTGCTGCCTGCGCTTATTCACATCGCGACACAAAGAAACACAGCGACACATCGACATCGACACATCACATCCGACAAGCCATCGATTCTTTCCCACGATAAGGCCTCACGGCATCTTCGGCTGAATGTCTGGCATTCCATGCAGATATAAACACACGTACTGCGTGCCCATGCCCTCTGCCGACCGCGGCCCCAATTGACTTTGAAAAGCCTCACTCTGTCGTCGTCTCCAACTGCGTCGACGGCTTCATCGCCAACAAATCTCCAATCTCCAACTTTATCTCCAACTTTTTTATTCCCCATTTCCATCTCCAATCTTACTTCGACACCGCCCCATCCCGCAAGCTTCAACAGCTGCTCGCCATGAGTTCCATTCGCGACGACAGCCCGGGCGCGGCCGCCAAGATTGGCTCCTACTTCTCGCGGCTCAACCCCATTCCCGCGTTTCCCGACTACACAGGACCCTACAAGGTCGGCACCGTCGACATTGAGATCCCTGTGAGCGATCTCGACTCGCCCAGCCCGGCACCCGACCACGCCGCTGGCCTGCACACCGTCCAGTTCCGCGTCTTCTACCCGACGGCCCCCGACGCCCAGGGCAAGCGCATCAGCTGGCTGCCCGCGCCCCAGCGCAGCCACGTCTCCGGCTACACGCAGTTCCTCGGCATCGGCCCCATGCTCGCCGAGTTCGTGTCGTTTCTGCCGCGCCACCTCCACTACACCTCGATCCCGGCCCTCAAGAATGCCGCCCTGCTCACGCCCAACACCCCCAGCGGCCGCTGGCCGACGATGATCTTTTCGCATGGCCTCGGCGGCAGCCGCAATGCCTACTCGCACATTGTCGGCTCTGTCGCCTCGCACGGCGTCGTCGTCATCTGCCCCGAGCACCGCGACGGCAGCTCGGTCGTGTCCTTTGTGCGCGACCCGGCCGCCCAGAACCGCTTCTTCAAGCAGAACCGCCGCAGCGTCGTGCCCTACAACCGCATCCCCCACAACGAGACGCCCGAGATCTGGGCCATGCGCGACCAGCAGATCCGCATCCGCCTGTGGGAGCTGGGCCTCGTGCACGACGCCGTCCTGCGCATCGACGAGGCGTCGCCGCTGACCAACCTCAACACCAGCACGCCCGTGGCCGCCATGGCCCAGTTCGCCGACAAGCTCGAGGTCCACAACCCGGGCGACATTGTCTGGTCGGGCCACAGCTTCGGGTCGGCGTCCATTGTGCAGCTGCTCAAGACGACGTACTACGCCGAGGCCCCCGAGCTTGCGTCCATTGCCGACCCGCTGTACACGCCGAAGCGGTTCTCGCGCCTGCGCGAGCAGATCACCGAGAAGAGCCCGACCATCCTGCTCGACATGTGGTGCTTCCCGCTGCTGTCGCCGGGCCAGCGCGCCCTGCACGACCTGCCCCTGCCCGTCTACGCCGACGTGCCCACGGCCCCCGGCGGCACGGGCCTGCTGGCCGTCGAGTCCGAGTCGTTCTTCAAATGGAAGGCACACCTGCACGCCACCGCCAAGATCCTGTCGCCCGTCCCCGCGGCGCCCGTCGTCTCGCCCGCCGCCTACGAGCGCCCCAGCGGCGTGCGGCTGCCCGAGCCCAACTTCTTCTTTGTCCAGAACAGCGCCCATCTCAACCAGAGCGATTTCGGCCTGCTGTTCCCCTGGCTGACCAAGAAGGTGTTTGGTGCGGAGGAGCCCGAGCGCGCCATCCGGCTGAACCTGCGCGCCATTCTGCAGATGCTGCGAGCCAACGGTGTCCCGGTGGCCCGGACGTGGGTGGGCGATTTGGTGGACGGCGCGGAGGTGGACAAGCTGGGGCGGCCCACCGCGGCGTCGGCGCCGAGCGACAGCGAGGCTTTGGCCACGCCGACGAGCACACCGACGAGCACACCGACAAGCCCACCCAGCGAGAGCGAGGCCGCCGCCACCCCCGCGGCGGACACACAGGCGGCCGACGCCGCTCCGACGCCTACGGCGCCGTCGCTCTCGCACACCATTGGCGACCGCAGCCTCGCCGACGGCCTGTTTGACGACAAGGCCATCTTTGACCGCAGCGGCCGCGGCACCGTCGACCACTGGCAGTGGATCGACATTGTCGGCCTGGGCGCCGACGCCGCCGACTCGTACAAGAAGGCCACGGTCTCCTCCGAGGTCCGCAGTGTGGACGGTGCGGACAGCGTGGACAACGCCGACAGCATCTCGGTCTGCACGACCGCCTCGGCCATGGACGAAACCGAGCAGGCCATGGAGGCCGAGATTGAGCCGCACCTGGGTGCACCACACATGGTCGCGGTGACGGTGTAACGTCCGTTGTCTTTTTTTTTCTTTGTTTCTTTTGATTCTACACTGTTTGCGATAGACTACTATTTGGATGGGATATACATCTACACTTGGATTTAGATGAGCATTTTCGGAGGATACCTAGCCGGCCATTGGATTTCTGGATTGCCTTGATTGCCTTGGGATTGCCTTGGGTTTGCTGTTTTGTAATAATTATGGAGTTTGGACTGGCCGTTGAGGCGTCTTGCGACGTGTACAAAATAATACAATGTCACAGTACGAGGAATAGAGGAGACGATACGATCAATCGAGGAAGACAACCATTTCAAAATTGTATTGAATTTACTGCGAAAATCGGCCATGGAGGTGCACAGCTTTGTACAGACTGTATTATTTTTACTCTGACGCCCTCGACCAATGGGCCACACTATGCTTTACATTCCAGAAAAACCAAAACAGCAGACTCTTAGCTCAGCAACAAAAACGGTGTTTACAAAGTAGAGCAACTAGTGTTGTCCACAAAATACGGAGATTGCTGCCATTTTCTTGACTCCTTGTTCAATATTCCATCTACACTCGTTCATTGCGCTTTCTCGCAAGCCATGGACAAGCACTCCCGTCGCTTTCTGCTGCGACACGACATCTCAGTCATCGTATCTGTGGCTTTGGCTCTTGTTTCACCAAACGCGCTTCTCTTCGTCTCCGTTTTTTGCTTCCCCTCTCCTCTCAGCCTTTCGGAGCTTTTCTCTCGGCAATGCGGCCATGGTTCGGTCAGCCCTTGTCTGTTTTCCATCTTGAAATGCGACGGGCGTGCTGATCCGTCCAGGAAAATTTTAAGAATTACGGAGCCAGGCCCGTAAAATTAAGCTGTCTCCTGTGTAGTACTTTGTACGAAATACACACTAAAAGGTTCATCGACATTGTGGAATGGTCGCAATTCCATCGCAATTCCAATCGCATCGAGCATCGGCCGACCATCACAGATTGGTCGGCATCTGCCCAGCGGTCCACTTTTTTGTTTTGCCTCTGCAAATCTTGCAAGTGGGCCACTTTTCGGCGACTGGCACTTGAGCTGATGAGCTGAAAGCCAGCCAAGACGGCACTGCACCAAGTGCACCAAATTGCACCAGATTGCACCAAGATCCAGCCCAAGGTGGCCCAAGAAGGCTCCAAGAGGCCCCACCCACACCTTCCCTTTGTGTACGCCTACACCCAATCTGCGCCAAATCGAGAAAACAGATGAAGTCATCGGCCCCGTCGTAGCTTCTGTTGCTCTTTCCTTTTACCTGTGCCAGGTGCAGATTCGCGCACGAACGTGCCTTCCCTCCGGGCAGCTGACAGGCTGCAAACTGCCGTTTGCTGAATCTGGCACCACAACATAATCGTAAATAATGAGCACAAGAGGCAAGTGCGCCCCAGTACGCGGTTGTGCTGGTCTCTGTGCACCACCGTAGTCTGTAGAATCGCCGTCTTGGCGGTCTCTCCTTCCTCTTGATCGTTCTGCTATGTGGTCTTGCCAAAGTGGGACGCAGCTTGTTTTTGTTTCTTTCATTGCTCCTTCCCCCAACACTTGGCTTAGTTCTTGTCTCTTTCATCTTTTGTTTTGCATCCATTTTTTGCTGGCATCTCGCGATGTTCCATTGAAAGCTGTTCGCGATCCACATCAATACCACCCTGCCTTTCGAGAAGGCGGTCAATTTTTATTGAAACCCATCTTTCGTCAGCCCCCCACGTCCACCGTCGCCATGTCGGGAGGCGAGGCCAACTCGTACTACAACGCCGCCAGCGGCCAGGCACAACACGATGGCAACTACAACGGCAACTACAATGGCAACTACAACAACCAGGACCTGGAAGCCGGCAACGGCTACAACAACCCGGGCCAGAATAAGGGCGCTGCCCCGCCCATGCCCGGCCAGCCGCAGCAACACATGAACATGGACGGCAAGCAGGACTACGACCAGGTGTTTGCGATCCAGGGACCCAAGTACCGGGACATTTGGGCGGGTATTTTGGTAAGTGCCGGCGTTGGGGGTGACAAAAGCAAATTCATCCTATCATGGGCTCGACTAACGTGACAGTTCCTTGCCGTCGTTGCTGGCTTTGCCGCCGTGTCTGGCATCTCCCTCCACGGCTACGGTATGTTTATGCGCATCCTGCCCATTCTGACCTTCACCTGACCCCCCATCGACATGCATTGCTGATTTGCGCTCCACAGCCACCACCCGGTCCGGTACCGGCGGCGGCATCTACGACAGCGACGCGACGTTCGGCCTGACGACCAACACCATCATCTGCCTCGTCATCTGCATTGCCATCGCATTGATTCTGAGCCTGCTGTACATGTTCGTCGCACGCACCTGGACCAAGATGCTCATCTGGGTCACCGGCATCCTCAACATCTGCCTCGGCCTCGCCACCGCCATCTACATGCTCTACCACAAGTACTGGTCCGGCGGCATCGTGTTTCTCGTCTTCGTCGTCTTCACCATCATCTGCTTCATCTCGTGGATCCCGCGCATCCCCTTCAGCGTCGTCATGCTTCAGGCGTCCATCGATGTGGCGCGCCGCCACGGCCACGTCTTTATCGTCTCGCTCATCGGCGGTCTCGTCGCGGCGGCCTTTGGCGTCTGGTTCTCCATCACGCTGGTGGCCGTGTACGTCAAGTACGAGCCGGGCAGTACGTGCGACGCGAGCGGCGGCGGGTGCAGCACGGCCAAGGTGATTGGCCTGATGGTGTTCATCACGTTTGCCGGCTACTGGATCACCGAGTGGATCAAGAACACGATCCACGCGACCGTCGCGGGCATCTACGGCTCCTGGTATTTTGCGCAGAACGACGCCAGCTTCCCGCGCGGCGCCACCCGCAGCGCCGCCCGCCGCGCGCTCACGTACAGCTTCGGCAGCATCAGCCTCGGCAGTCTTGTTGTCGCCATTATCAACTTTTTGCGGCAGCTGTGCTCCGTGGCGCAGCAGCAGGCCGCCGGCTCCGGCGACACGCTGGCCAGCATCTTCTTCTGCATCCTGGGCTGCTTCATCGCCATCCTGGACTGGGCCGTCCAGTTTGTCAACCGCTACGCCTTCTGCCACATTGCGCTCTACGGCTCGTCGTACTTTGAGGCGGCCAAGAACACGTGGACCATGATCAAGGACCGCGGCATTGACGCCCTGGTCAACCAGTGCCTGATCGGTCCCGTCTTCAGCATGGGCGCCACCTTTGTGGCGTACGCGACCGCGCTCGCGGCCTACGTCTTCTTGCGCGTCACCGACCCGGCCTACAACTCCGACGGCAGCTACACGCCCGTCATTCTGGCCTACGCCTTCCTCGTGGGCCTGCAAGTGTGCAACATCTTCACGACGCCCATCAGCAGCGGCGTGGACACCATCTTTGTCGGCATGGGCTGGGACCCCAATGTTCTCCAGGAGCGCCACAATGACCTCTACCACCGCATGGTGGAGGTGTACCCTCGTGTGCAGCAGGCCATCCGGTCTCGGTAAGAGAGACAAGGGCAACGTCAAGACGGTTGGGAACGAAGGGTAGGACGAGGACTTGGTCGTGGGAGGCGTGGGAGAGATAGTGGGAAGGGACGAGCAGCGTGGGGGGCAAGCAGTGATTGGTGATTACGTGGGAAGCAATGGACAGCAAACGTTCATGCTACTGGACTGTGCATTTCCGAACAAACTTTTGTGGTAGGTATAGACGGGCCATTGGCCACTGTTATTGGCTACGGAACATCTTGTTTTTTTGTTTTTATTTTTAATTTTTTTTGATTAAGAAGATTGGCGTTATTCTTTTCCCCATTTTTTGTCCTCTCAAAACTTGGATTGCCTTTTTGCCTTTTTGTCTCCGTGGTTGGTGTGACTGATTTGATCCAATGCAGACTGGGCGTGTCAAGTAAAGAGTGAGGCACACCCCAAAAAGCTCCTATGGACGTATGGATAGATTGGATGGCACGGCCGGACCAGAGGCGAGCTCCAGCGGCGAGCACATTGTGTGTACGCGTTTCACGTCTCGATTGTCGACTTTGGACGGTCGACTGTCCAGTCGAGTACCGGAAATGCATCCCGACGTGGTGCTTGGAACCAACCGGGCCATGAAAAGCGGCTGCGCATTTCAGGCTGTTTGCCGCCTCATAACGGAAGATGCACAAACTACGTTGGTTTTAATGGCCGAGTTAAGGGATTGATAAGAGAAGAAGAGAAGAAGATGCAGAGTGAAGAAAAGACGATGCAGAAACGAAAAGAAGAAACGAAAAAAAAAAAAGAAAACGAAGACAAAAGAGAAAAGAAGATACCAGACTACAGAAGCAAACTCTCCAAGTAAGTCATTTGTTTTCTTTCCATTGCCATGTTGCATGCTAGCGAAGTGCAGACAGCTCCAGCAAGACAGGCCGTCAACTAAGCCCATTCATCATTTATCGTTCATCAATGAGGTTCGGCGGACCGTCGTCAGTGCCAAGAGCAAAACGATCTCCCATCTCTTCCTGGTTAATCAACGGTAAAAGATCCGCGCCCCCAACATCCGGATTCTATTTTGGCCGTGTCTGGATATTTTTCAATTCATCTATTCGTCTCCCAGAACATCAGGTTCGCGTCAAATATCCCAATATCAACCCGCCGAGTTTACGTACACGTGTGAGTCGGCAGCCGAATATTCGTCAACACACTTACGTGGTGCCCAGCGAAAGATGTGACGTGATGAATTGGCTGATGGTATGTGAAGCGTTTTCTGTTCTCTGTACGTTTTCTGACTTTTATATATTTTGTCTTCCTTTTTTTCCCTTCTTTCTTTTGTCTTCTTCTTTCTCGGATCCTCTCTCCTCTTCTGCCATGTGCTTGTATTCACCGCATAGTCAACCTTGAGGCGCCGCCCTCTTGACTACTCGTCAATATGATTTCTCACCATGGCTTGCGTGTGGCCGTGGCCGTCCTCGCTGGCCTGCCTCGGCTGATCGCGGCCGACAGCTCGCCCTATCTCCTTACACAAAACTACCTCCCGCACAACTTGACCGACGGTTTCGTCTTCCGCACGGCTGCCGACTACCCGGGCACAGGCGATCCCACGCATGGATTCGTCAACTACGTCGGCCTGGACACGGCCACTGCGGCCGGGCTGGTCAAAGTCGTCGCCGGCAGTGCCGCCCAGGGAGCCCCGTTTTCTGCCGCGCGCAAGCGGAACGAGCAGCTCTACCTAGGGGTCGACCATACGACTGTCCTCAACGTGTCGTCCGCGGACGTGGCCAACTCGTCCGTCGTCGCCACCACCCCCACCCCCAGTGCCGCCGGCCGCGGCCGCTCATCCGTCCGCCTCGAGTCCCGTGCCACCTTCTCCCGCGGCCTCCTCGTCGCCGACTTTGCCCACATGCCTGCGGGCCAGTGCGGCGTCTGGCCCGCCTTCTGGGCGTACAATTTCAAAGAGGACCCCGTCGGTGAGGTCGACCTGCTCGAGGGCGTCAACCACCAGGCGGCCAACATGGTGTCGCTGCACACGGGCGGCACGTGCGAATTCGGCGCGTCGGCCGACGAGACGGGCGTGGACCGCCGCGATTCGTGCACGGTGGTCTATGGAAACGCATCGACATACGGCGGCTGTGGCGTCACGGCGCCGGCCACGGCCAATACGTACGGGACCGCCTTCAACCGCGTCGGTGGCGGCGTGTATGCAGCCCTGCTCGAGGCGGACCAGCTGCGGGTCTGGCACTGGCCGCGGGGCAGCGTTCCGGCGGATGTGCAGCAGGGAGCACCTGACCCTTCCTTGGCGTCCAACTGGGGCCGGCCGCTGGCCGTCTTTTCGCAGGCCAACGGCGGCTGCGATGTGGCGGCCAACTTCCACACCCTTACGTTGATTTTGAACACGGACTTTTGCGGCATCAACCAGGCGAACGGCATATGGAACAACGACGCGGCGTGTGCAGCGTACCCGACCTGCGAGGCCTTTGTGGCGAGCCACCCGGAGGCCTTCAACGAGACGTACTGGCTGGTGAACTCGATCCGGGTCTACGAACCGGGACCGTCGACAGGGCCGGTGGTGCCCGTGCCTGTGAATACGACAACGCCGGTCAATACAACGACACCTGTGTCCACGGCCGTTCCCACGCAACCGCCGTTGTCGTCAAACTCGACACGGCCAGTGCCCATCTATACAAATACAACATCGCACGTCGTGCCGGTACCGACGGCCAACACGACGACATGGACGACGGCCAACACGACAACATGGACGACGACCAAGTCAACGACGACCAAGGAGACGTCCACTGAAGTTTCGACGACTGAAACAAGCTCAACAACCGTAAGTTCGGAAACCGAGACGACTTCTCTGACGACCTCTCTAACGACTTCTCCGACAACGGTACAAAATTCGACCTCTCAGATACCAACATCAACGTCAACATCATCAACATCATCAACATCGTCGATATCTACATCAACGTCATCATCAACATCTATATCAACAACTTCTACACCAACAACTTCTACACCAACAACTTCTACACCAACAACATCTACATCAATATCTACATCAACATCTTCATCAACAACGTCATCAACAACGTCATCAACAACTTCTTCATCAACATCAGCATCCACATCATCTACATCGACATCTACATCTACATCTGCATCGACATCGACATCGTCTACTTCAAAAACAACAACGCCAACGACGCTCCGGACGACGACCACAAAGACAAAGCCCCCTGTCGAGCCCACACCAACAAGCAAGAAGACGACAACAATCACCCATCCACCCGGGCCCACCAAAACGCCCTATTGGCCATGGCCGATCTGGACGACGCCGGGGCCTGCCAAACCGACGCCAACAACGGAGCCCCCAACCAAGCCGACCGCGACTGCCTCTCCCACCAGCCCCGTTGTCCCTGCCTGGCCCAAATGGCCACACTGGCCCGCACCCGTGCAGCCCTGGCGGCCCTGGACGCCGTGGCATCCGTGGGGGCCGCCGACGCCGTGGAAGCATCCATGGCACCACCAGCATGGCGACGGTCATGGCGACGACGACGATGGGGACGACGATGGGCCGTACAGTGGCAATCCGTTTAGGGATGACGGCGATGGCGATGATGACGACGACGACGACGACTCCGGTGACGACGACTCTTGGGGTGAATGGAAGTGGAAACATCACCATCACCACTGAGGTAGGAGAGGTCGCTAGAGGCCGGTAGTCAGTGTCGTCAGACACTCTCTTTTATTTCCTTTTTATAATAATTTCATATTGTATCGGCTATTTAGTCTTCGTTTATAGATTTTCTTTTTGGTCTTTCTATTTTATATCCTTTTTATTAAAAACAGTAATTATTTACTACAATGCTTTCCGATTCTGTTCTGTATTTAGTATTCTATATTTAACTTTCAGTATTCAGTATGCTGATTCTTTAAGGGACACCGTCTAAGGGGGTGGAGGTTGGCCTGTGATGAGGGATGACTTGATTTTCGTGTTGTGCGATGTGGTTCCGACAATGTCTTTACGTCTGCGTCTGCTTCTTGGCTTCATTCTCTACTCTTTTGCAGAGGTTTCGTAATCAGTATAGATTGTAATCAATGTTCATACACGAAACTGCCGAGCAACTGTAAATGTGTCGATGCTTCCTTTCTGTTGGGCAGGCATGTTTGGTCTTCACACCGCCCATATGTCTTTCCTTTATATATCACAAACCAGTCTACCCACCAATCAAAACAGGTCCAGTGGCCAAATGGCAAGGCGCTTGGCTACGAACCAAGAGATTGCAGGTTCGATCCCTGCCTGGATCGTTTTTTTTTTTTTTTTGTGGAATTTTCTTTTGCAGTTTGAGCAAAATTGTTTCGGTGTACGTTTGTAAAACCCGTATACAGTGATACTGCTCACCTCTTCTCAATGTCTCGCGACAGGTCGTCGCCTCAATGGGGAGACCGTTGGAGATCTCTTGTTAGCATGTGATAGAAGCGACCATCACGAATTCATCTTTGTCACGTGCGGGGCAATAGCTGGACCTGACTTGCTCTGTTAGTTTCTTCTTCCTTTTTCCCAGTTTTTAAATATTCACCACATTGCCTCTCGTAAAAATGAAAATTTGCATGTGCTCAAAGACTCCCTCATGGCAAGTTCCGTTTTGCCCTCTTTTGACTGTGGGTGTTGGGTGAGGCTAGACATGGCTATTCCCTATTCCCGTTTTGTCGAAACCTTCTCCCGCACATTTTTCTTTCTTCGCCTCCCACCGGCGCCGTTTTCTTCAGGTACAAATCTGCGACGGTACACGACGGTGATCTGACGGCCGCCCGTGTTGCCGGTGCAGCGGATGGCCGTGCAGAACAAAGCACTGGACGCTAATTTTTCTTCTTCAACCGTCGATAGTTGTGCTCCCGGCCCTCTGGGTTTGCCCCTCCTCCGTCGTCCCTCCATCGTGCGTCCGTCCGTTGTTCGCGTGGCAGTTGCCGTGGTCGTGTCTCTTCTAGTTTGTCGTTGCTCTCTTGGTGCCAGGGCGATTTCTCGTGTTTCAGTGCCCTCGTGGTTTTTGGACGAGTTTACGAGCAACCGTGTTGGATGGGATGTGCCGCCGTCTTTGCCGTTCGTCTTTGGCTATGCAAACTCCATGAGCCGATTTGTCAGGCGACCTCGGGGCCTTTTAGTGTCCATTGGGCCCCGTCAAACGTACAGTAGACCGTGGTTCGACGGCGCCAGGCTACTGTGCACCATCCGTGTAAGTGAATCCCCCGTCTGATGCAGACATACATGGTATTGGTATTCTGGACACATGTCCAAGACGAGGCAAATGCATCTGCAACTACCACCCTCCGTGCCAGGATCGCGGACCGAATGGTGCATGTGCCATGGCACCCGACCTGCAGAGTTTTCGTCCTGTGCAGGAACGGCATGTGCAGGTCCCAGGACCGGGCCTGGAGGACGGCAGGCACGCTGCTCAATGTCGTCTCTCGTTGATGCCTGGTGACAGTGGTGACAGAGCGGCTTCTGCGGGCGGGACAACCGTGCACCATCCCGTCGTTGTACGGTGTTCCGAGTAGACGATCTTCGCTGAGTGGAGAGTGTCTCCATTGTCAGCTGTGCGAGTCGCCGAGGGCAGGCAGAAAAGGGCCAGAACTGGACAGAACAAAATGGGTTCCGCCAACGAGACGCCGCCGAGCACACAGTACGGCGCATTGGTTGCCAGGTCTTGTTTGTCGGGGACGCAAAAGACTGGGTCAAGATGCATGGTCAACACTGGTGAAAGCCCGTGGGCGACACATCGTGCCCACACACACCTCTACGGCAGCAAGTGAGAGCCCAGTATCGCGAAAACTCTTTAAAAACTCAGTGGACAGAGCGCTGAAAAAAAAAAAAAAGAGACTGCGAGAAAAACTAGTCTAGCTTGCATTGTGAGGCGGACGTGGGTCATAAGCAGAGACGATGGAGACGATCGAACGTATGGAGTCGAACAGTCTCCGCTTGTCCTGTCACACATTGTGACACTTGTCCCAGCACGGACAGGACGCCTCCACTGGAGCGGACGGGAAGACAGGGCGGGAAACATGGCGGGGAGACTGGACAATGGGGACACAAAGTGGGAAAAGTGGTGCAAAATGTCGAGCAACGACACACGAGTGAGAGGAGGCAGGACGGGCAGGAAGGGCTGTAACTTCTCTGCACGAGCTGCACGAGATGCCATGTAAGTGAGAGTTGGACAGAATCTGCAGGTCGGAAGCGCAGGCAACAGGAAGACAATTTCACCAAGATGTCTCGGGAGAATGTTCGGAGGACAGCCCGGAGCCAGTGTGCCAGTATGGCAAAAGCAGGATTTGAAAACTCTGAATCTTGACATCGATCGAAAATCCTGCTCGCCAAAACGGATTGTCTCATTGTGTGCCGTGCACGGCATGTCAGCATGGGATAATGCATTGTATACAACATATTGTAAGTTGCAGTGCGGCCCAAGTTCCGGCAGCTGGGAAGACTGGACGAGACAGCATGTAAGATGGCGCCTTCAATGGTGCCGGAAGCTGGACGGTGTTGCAGTGGACCCTCGGTGGCAAGACGGGAGTGGGCTTCCAGAAAGTGCTACTTGGCCATGTGGATATTGCTCGTGGCGCTTTTTTTCTGGTTATTTTTTAGTGTTTCGGCGGAAGAGCATGCATGCGCCTAGGCCCGATATGGGCGACGGTGGTGCATACACGGAATAACAGCTGGCGCAAAAGCTGTCAACGACGGACGGGTGAGAAACTGGAAGGGTGTACGTAGTCTGTTGTAATACCGGAATGCCTGCGTGGAGGGTATGCAGGGGAAAAGGAAAAAAAGAAAAGAAAAAATAGAAAAAAAAAGAGAAACAGCCACCAGGCACACTGGCAGGAACCCACGGGAAACCAAGAACGACAAAGAATCGAACCGTGTCCGTAGACGACTGGGTGAGACCAAAATCCCTCACTGCACGTCGTGAACAATGTACGCAGCGCAGTGTCTTGTGGGTGTGTCCTGTTCCCGACTGTCCCGTCTGTCTCACTGAGAGGCCATATCTCATCACTGTACCTGGCTCTCTTACCGGCCGCTGCATGGTCTCGTGGTGGTTCGAACAGCCATAGGCCACAGCCAAACGGCCAAAATGGCCAGAAGCAGACTAAAGCGAGAGCCTAGCCTTTGTTGCAGAGCCAACTTCTGAATAGTTTCATTGGATCTTTTGCGACTCGGTTGTTGGACTCGTGCGGTTATATGTAGCAGTCTTGCGGTCTAGTTTGGCCGACCTAGCGTAAAACCGACTCAACTCGCGTCCGTTGCGCTGTTTGTTGTTCTTTGTTCTCTGTTTCTGTTCCTGGACCAAAGCGTCGACGGATCGGATGGGTGGGCTTTGCGCGGTCGACATTTGAAAAACCATTGGGTGAGGTGGAACGAAGTGGATTTGGTGAGACGGCCGTCAGGCGGCCGTCTTTGTTCGGTTTTTGCTGGCGCGCGGCAGCGGGCGGCTCTTGGGGGAGCGAGGGTGGGGTGGGACCCTGACCCTGGGACCTGGGGACTTGGGCTGGGCTCAGAAACAACACAAAGGAATAAACGAACATGCGGACGACGGATGAAACAAAACAACGCAGAAGGTGAGGCTGAAAATAAAGAACAAAAAAGGAAAGAAAAGCGGAAAGAAAGACACTGTAAAAATAGGATGAAACGAAACACCAACTTGGGCAAAGGAGCAGAATAGAAAAGGGATAAGTGACGTGCCTCAAAGACGATTCAAATGCTCAGACCAACTTGCACCAACTTGACAAAGAGCACACCTCAAACAGACTATCGACGACTGGCTCGCGGAAGACAAAGCAGTTTCAAGCAAGGACGACGAGAAATGGACAAACGGGTGCAGAACTACAAAGAAACAAGACGAGGGGGAACAAGAGGGAACAACGGCGTGAGGACGGCGTGTGGAGAAACGATGGATACAAGTGACAAAGACACAAAGAAAAGGACGACGAGACAAGTGTAACAAAACAGTGGGCATGTCTTGCTTGTCTTTTCACCTTGGCTGTCCCTTCACTGACACGCACTGACACCGCAGTGGATGCACGGCCACGTCAACCGGCAGGAACCGAGTGACGAGCAACATGCAGTCGGGCATCAGAGCAGTGGCACGACTCGACTCACGACTCACAACTGCTCATGCACAATGTGAGACAGTGCAACAGACTACAGATACGTCGTGGCACGATTGCCGGCCGTGTCGTCGAGGACGTGGCCGATGGCGCCCCAGTAGTAGTCTGTTTATGTATCTTACAGCGACCTTTGCTGTAGTCGCCTTGGTCTTCGACTCGATTGCGTGGCCATGATCCACTGTGGTGATGGTGGCCGTCTTTCCGCAGTAAAGCCTCAGCAGCCAGCGCCACAACTTGACGACGCTTTGCCCGTTTTGGGAGGCGGTAGACACAAAGGTTCACGGCGAACGAGACGACTGTAGCGCAACTTCCAGCGGCGAGACGATGCTGTTAGGCCCGGCTGTAGGCATTTTGGCCTGTCGGTTCCAGGCACAGGCCTGTGACTGGTGGGAAGCCGCCATCAAGAGCCGGTAACAGAGTCCTGTCGTACGCCGAACTGCACTGAAAATTCTGCTCTCCCCTGCTGATCCGCCCCCCGGCCCCAATTTGGCGTGAAATGACACGCCGTCCTTCGGGATGAACAGGACATTGTGATTGGACCGACCCTGAATTTAACCCGCTTTTCCGTCTGTTTTCTCGCGGTCGTCAGTCTGCTTTTCAAAACGACGCCACAAAACGACGGTGCGCGCTGCCATTGGCTGCTGCCCCTGAACGGTGTGGCCCACTTCTGTTGTTGTTCCTGCATCGCCCTGGTCCCTGTTTGTTCATCTGGCACTTCCTTCCCTTTCACCATAACCTAACTGACCTGCACAAAACAACGCACAAAGCACAGCACAATGTTGTGCGTAGCTGTCGACGTGGCCCATGCACGGCAGCAAGACAAAGCCACCATCACCCCCAGAGCACACGTAAGATACTTGTCGCCGTCTCCATAGAAGCGACACGAGGTAGCGCCGTGTGGTGCAGCAGCGATTGCCTGCAGTGGCTGGCCTTTGGTGTCCTTTTCCACTTGTCCTTCTTGCCTTCCCTTGTTGTCAATGCCTGTTCTTTCCTCGTGATTTCTGTCTCTCTATTTTGCCTCTTCCCAGTTCTTTCCTCGTATCCCCCACCCAACACATGCCAGTCCCAACCACAACAAACTGCCTTGCGTGTCCACGTACACATGCCCGCCGTAGCGTGTAAATAAGATACTGTTTTCTGCATCGACGGGCGTGCCAGCCATTCTCTCGTCGCCTGTTTTGTCTGCCGCCCAGAATGTATGTCGTACATCGTACGTGTGGCTTACTTCCTCTTGGCCTCTCTTGGCCTGGCTCTTTCCACCAGCCACCAGGGCCCCCTGCTGGGGCCAGCCCAAAAGGAAACAACGACCTGGGCGTCGGAGGGCCTGGCCCAAAAGCGACCCAGAAAAGAGTGGTCCGGCAGGCGCAGAAAAGATGGAGCCAGGAAAAAGTCCTCATGTCCACTTCGGTCGCTCTTGCCTTCTGGCAGCCCGCTTCGGCCTCGGACCCACAAATTCCTGCAATCTCGCTGCACTACTACGATGTACTTCGTACGAGAAAGGGCAGTCGCGCCCAAGCAGCGCAAGTCCCCCCTGCCCTTTTCGTCGTCCCCTGGCGCCGCCCACACCCCCTTCCTTGTTTGTACCTGGCCGTGTCTCCCCTTTTCCTTTCGCCCTTTTGCCTTTCGCCCTTCGTCTCTCTCGTCTCTTCTTCCTTTCTCTTCACGCCTCACCGTCGCTTGTTCTTTTTTGGTTCGCCGCCTCGTTACGGTTGTCCGTCCATTCCTTACGTCTCCTTAAAAGACCTCACCTCCCACACCCCCTGGGCCCTGTCTCGTCCTCCCTTCCTTTCCCCTTGTCTGGAAATACTCCGTGCACGCCTTTCATTTCGTTTTCAATCCCAATATTTTCCTTCCATCGCGAAGTTCGTTCCTTTTCGTTGCTTTTCAGCAAACGACCACACTCCTTTTTTTGTGTTTTCTACAGCACCAACGCTCTCTTGGAAAGCCAGCTCTTTCCAGACACCCACTCTCCTTGACAATCGACGCATATATCCTATATCGCGACAAGATAGCAATCACCAGTTCTGGCCAACTTGGATACCGAAAGCAGACATCACAAAACTCTTGCAAAGAACACGACTGTTACGACAACCCAATACGATCCTTATTCATCACATTGAGATTTAAGCAGCACACGCAAAAACATCCACAATGCGCTTCACAAACGCCCTCCTCCTCGCCGCCATCGGCGTCTCCGCCCACCCTTCGGGCCACGCTCACCTGCACCGCGCCGTCCACGAGCAGCACCAGGCCGAGAAGCGCGACGTCCTCGTCACCGCCACCATTGACGGCAAGGTCGTCTCCTGGACCCAGGGCGGCTCGCCCTTCAAGGCCGCCCACAAGCCCACCGATGCCGCCGCCGTCGTGAACACCCCGACCACCACGTCGACCCCTGCTGCTGCCGCCACGCCCAGCACCAAGGCCTCCAGCTCGGCCAAGGCCGCTGCCTCGCCGTCCGCGGCTGCCTCGCCCGCCTCGTCGGCGGCGCCGTCGTCCTCCGACTCGTCCTCGGGCGCCTCCGGCAGCGGCATCTCGACCTACGAGGCCTTTGGCTCCTGCGCCAGCTCCAAGGCCCGCAAGACCAAGAAGCGCGCCACCGAAGCCAATATCGCCTACGCCGGCAACACCGGCTGCAACGGCTACGGCTCCAACGTGAAGCTGGTCCAGTCCAGCATTGCCGATAAGTACACGTACATCGTCAAGGCCGTCAACAGCGCCAGCTCCACCATGCAGTGCCAGGTCTGGAACAAGATTGGCCCCGACGGCGGCGTCAACGGCTTCTTCATCAACAACCAGGCCCTGACCTTCACCATCCCTGCCGGCGCCTCGCAGCACGTCGTCTTCGACGCCAACTCCCAGGGCGGCATGTGCTGCCAGGAGGGCTCCGTGTCTCTGACCGATGCCGGCGAGTTCCTCTGCCCCTGGCTCGAGTTCGACTTTGGCGACGCTGCCAACCAGGGCTGGTCCGGCTTTGACGCCTCCGCCCTCGTCGCCGGTTCCGCCAAGGCCCCCTTTGGCGCCCTCAATGTCTGCACTGCCGACGGCGCGACCTGCTCCACCCTCTTCGCCGGCGGCGGCGGCACCAACGCCTACCTGCCCGGCGACGAGAAGCTGGACGGCATTGGCGGCAACCTGGCCCCTGGCGCCGTCTCGCTGATTGCCACATGGTAAAGCAACGACTTGGCCCGCAAGGCTTTGCCGTTGTTTTCCCATGTTCTCCTTTGTCTTCTTTCCTTTTTTTCAACGACTTTATATATACGGGGATTCATCTTTTGACCTTTTGATTTTTTTATGGCTTTGTATTAGGAGGTTTTACACTCTTCAACTTTCTTTTGCAAATGTTGCGCACACTTTTCTGTTTTCACTTCTAAACTTTCGTTCAGCCGACGATGTGACACACCACTTATCTTTATTCTTGTATTTCTTGGACATACTTCATCTTCAATTTTGTGTGCACCAGGAAACGACAAAAACAAACGATTTGGCGGGCCATCTGATAGGGGCATTATATCCATCGCTTTTTTGTCTTGCTTTTTTTATCAAAAAAATTGATCAACAAAAACCCGAATTTGTCGTTTTTATCGTGATTTGGCCGTGACCTTGACTATGACCTTGACTATGATCGCGACTGGACCAACAGCCACACCTCTGCAGATGAAACGTTTCTATTATTGGCCTTGCTTCGAAACAGGCCATCTGTGCTCGGTATGAAGGGGCAACCAACACTCCCTTTTCTCTTCACCAACAGCATACGACGTACACGAGAACGCGCAACTTGCTTTTGCTTGCCGGCACGTCTCCAAAAATACACGTCCCTCGCCCACGACTGACCCGACACTAATGCAGGAGAAAGCAACAAACTTACACTCGATCTTCGATCTTGTTTGCCGCGTTCGCGGCGTCCTAACAAAACGTGTTGGTTTTGTACGGAGTATGTCTCCAAATAGAAAGAGACGGCCCACCAGACCACTCAAAAAATGGAGAAAGGCGGCATCCAAAAAAACAGGAAACGCAGCCGAAAACAAGGCACAAAGTTTACAAGCCAGGCACAGCCCACGTCGCCCGCTTCGTGTATGGTCTTGGACGGTCCAGACGGACGGTCCAGACCAATTGATCGGAGGCTGCAAACGTACATTGTACAATCGAAACGAATGCCTGCAGAACAACTTGGACATTGGACGCACACATGGGTCCGTCCACTTCACTGTATATGGCAAAGACCAAAGACGAGAACCAGCGACAACACCCAGCCACGAGGCCTCGACAAGTCTATGCGGACTGTGAAAACGTACGGAGGAATTGCATACAGCGAACGGTCTGCAACAAAAGCCAACGCTCTGACAAGACGACAGACTAGCCGTTGGTAGCCATAGAGACGAGCCTGTCTTTGAAGCCCCCAATCATCAGAGGGCGCTTTTCGTTGCGTGTCTCGCCTTGCGCAATCCATGGAGAGCACGGAAATAAGTTCTCCAGAGTAGGATTGCGGAAAAAAGGACGACTGGATACAAGATTGACGAGCATCGCATTCCCAATTTTAGATATGGGTTTCTTTTAGAGTGCAAGCCATCGAAACAATGTTTCTCATAAAGAACAGAGGATAGCGATCCTTTATGCCGCGACGGAAAAGACTGTGGGAGATGGCCAGGATCGCTTCTGCTCTGTACGGCAAAGGACTCCCTCGTCTCTCCCTCCCTCTCTCCCCCTCGTTGATCACTCGGCATTTTCTTGGGGAAAATGGTCTCGGCTGTCGATCGCATAATCGCAGCAGATCCAAAGAAGAATGTGATCGACACGGTCCAACATTGCAACGCATTCCGCCCTCGTTTTGAAAGTGGTGCACTAAAATAAAAAAAGCATTGAATGAAAAATACGACCAAGAAATTCAACGACGCAAATGGCGACGGCGGCAGATGCGACACGGCATGTCGCTTCTCCGCCGTATTGACTGATGTCGGTCACGATATCGTCGTCGTCGCGGACCCTGAATTCCATCTCCGCCAACGTCGACAAAATACCACGACACTCATTTCCTCGCCTGTAACGACAATGAAACTATTTCGTCGTTTGCCCCTCTTCCACGTGGGTGCAGTTTTCCGGCGGCGTTGCTATCGTCAGATGTCTTATTTCCCATTTTAAGATTGCACTTTCCCCTAGCCTGGTCGCAAATTAGACGTCCAGAGCTACCACCCAAGACCGCCTCCGTACGACCATTTCATATAGGAGTAATTACAGAAGTACGTCGTACTGGAATTGGCTTGGGCTGCTTCTCGTCTGCACGGTTTATTCCATCACTTTGTCCAGTGAACAATCGTCATCTGCACGATGTGATGCATGATTTACAGAGCAAGCCCGACATGCTCTGTAAAGATGGATATATGCCGAACCGATCTTCTTCCCCTTCTCCCCGTCTTCTATCGTTTGTTCGCCCATAACCTTTATCCAACCGTCCCGTCCGCAGTCTATTCCGCGTGGCATCCCGTCTTCCAAGTCCCGGATCGATTGGCCCATTTTACCGTGACCAGCATACCGTTGATTGATTCTTGATTCGGCTAAATGGCGACACCAGGCGTCCATCATTTGTCCGCCCGCTGCCAAAGCACCCCGTCCCGGTTTTGAAGCCTGGGACTATGGGCTCCCAAATGCCGGAGGCGTGTCCATCGCCCCTTGTTTCCCGGGAACAAAAGGGAAACAAGCCAACAACGGAACAGAGACATGTGCTTTTTTACTCTGTAAACGTCGTGCAATATACGGTAAGCGATGTGACGGGACCTCCATCTGCTGCATAAACGTACAAATAACACTGCCCGATTGCTCCTCGATCGACCGCCGCCATCTCGATGTCTATAACCACACACCAAATGACCGCTGTTCTCCATTGCACTGTGCTTTCAGCTCTGCGACCGTCTCGCACAATGTCATCGCAGCCTTGTCTGTGTCCCGCCCATATGTTTGTGGCATCCCGCGAGAACCAGCCGTGCCCGCCGCCGTACTGCTTGAAGCGCGTGGCTTCGGTGACTGGTGCGCGGCCAGGCAACTCCACTTGGACGACGGGACATGTGCGCACGGTCGGTGTCATCGTCCACCGACCTGCTTGTGCTCGCTTGGCCGCGTGGCTGGCTGAGTGATGATGTCCGGCCGCCATAGCAGTGTGGCCCAAGGCCGTCGTAGCTGCAAACGTCAGTCTCCAGCGCTGGTTCGGCCCTCCTGGTCCCGACGCAACAAACTCACTCCATACTGGCTTCCCTCTTGTCACTGTTGTCATTCTGGCCACCGGCACAGCTGTCGAGGCACACGGGCCGATTGTACATTGTCGTCATGGTCGCGGCAAAGACGTCGTCCCACGACGCGGAGGCTTTGAGTGGGTTGTCCATCGTATCTGTCTGCGACAGTCACAAGTCGGATCCGTAGCAGTTCATAAAAAACATAACAAATAAACGTTGATGGCAAGCGGGCGCCGTCGTTTTTATGACCTCCTTTCACCATTCACCAGGTGTCCTTGATTTCGCTCCCTTGTACGACGGCACACGCAGCCAGAGAGGCCAGTCCAAAGCCCTATCCTTGCCTGCAAGTCATCATGGGGAATCGCCGTGCAGCAAAATGAGGTTGCGGCCGTTCGTTTGCCTTTTTGGCCCTGTTTGTTTGCAGGTTACCCATCCAGGCTGACCGCTACTCTGGGGCGCTGCATTCCAGCTCGTATTCCAACATCCTTTCTGTCCTACTGGGAGACGGTTACACAAACACCCAGCATGCCCCGAAGAGGATGTGCTGCAAGGTAGCTTCGGCTTCTGTGTCATCTAGGAGAAATGGGGGAAAGGGGTGCCGTCCACACACCTCCACGCTTGTGCAACATCGACGCCGTTGACCATCACAGACAACAGAGACCATTATCTCCATTTTGGCTAAATATATCGAGGCGCACAGAATATTGAGTCGCACCCAAAAATGAACAGCTCCACCTCGTCAGCTGTCTTGTGTCTTGTCTCACATTGACGTACCACCAAGAGGACGACCCTTGCTCCTGATGTACCTGTTTTCACTCAGCTGTTCATCTGTTCGTCACCCGCTCCAGTAGATCACTCTAAAGGCGCTGTCAACTTCATGGACGAGACTATGATCCATGTTCATGGGGATCGTTTCTTTTCAAAAGTTGGCAACAGCACCACTACTATCCATATATTCGGGTTAGAATCTAGCAAGATACTGCGAAAGCAGCATCATTTGTACGGAGTGCTTGTCTATGGTGAAGGATGCGTTTGCAGATGCAAAATATCGGTGGTGACGTTTCACAACATCTGATTGGTCAGAACCTTGTGACCATTGTATGCCAGCTGCTGCCAGTTGGAGGCCATGGTCCCCTCAATTCTTATCGCCCCCCGTCCCCCACTAAATATTCTCTTATCAGCAGAAAAAATTACGTCGGGCCTGGTTCAATCATTCTAAGCATTACAGTACGAACATCACCAGATACCCATTTTTGGTGTTTTCTAGCCTTCGTCATTATTTTCGGCCGTGCTGTCCGATTTTGACCAATATGGCGACCCCGCCTGAAAGCGCACCGGCCGATGTGCCTGCACAGACCCCGGCAGGGACCCAAGTCGATGTCTCTGCGACGACCGCCGACACGACGACGTCGACTTCGACTTCGACACCATCAACCCCCGACGATGCCGCCGCCAGCAAACCCATCCACACTCTCGTCCTCGATGCCGGCCCCCTCATCAAGAACGACCCGTCCGTCAGCACCCTGCTCGCCCAGGCCGACTGCCTCGTGACGATCCCCTCCGTCCTCGACGAAATCCGCGACCCGGCGACGCGCGACCGCGTCACCACGACCCTGCTTCCGTTCCTGAAGCTGCGCACGCCCAAGCCGGCGAGCGTCAAGTTTGTGAGCGAGTTTGCGCGCAAGACGGGCGATCTGGAGGTGCTGAGCCGGCCCGATCTGCAGCTGCTGGCGCTGACGTACGAGGTGGAGTGCGAGCGCAACGGGGGCGACTGGCGGCTGCGGTCGACGCCGACGCAAAAGGGCGTGAACGGAAAGTCGCCGGCGGCGGTGGCAGCGGCGGCGGAGACCGAGGCCGAGGCCGAGACAGGGGCTGCCGCGACGACAGAGGAGAAGACGACGACCGAGACCGAGGCGCAGACGCCGGAGACGAATCTCCACGACAAGGTGGCGGAGCTATCAATAGACGACAAGGAGGCGGAGGCACCACAGACGCCGGACGCTACCGAGACAGCCGAGGCTGAGGAACCAGGGGCGGCCGAAGAGAATGACGAGAATGAGCAGAACGAGGACGACGACGCCGCCTCCGACGACGGCGGCGAGTGGATCACGCCGTCCAACCTCAAAAAGGTGCAGGCCAAGGACAAGCTCGGCGCGCCGACGCAGCCCATCCAGCGCCGCCTGCAGGCCGCGCTGCTGTCGTCCGACTACGCGATGCAGAACGTCGCGCTGCGCATCAACCTCAACCTGCTGTCGCCGGCGCTCGACCGCATCACCCGCGTCAAGACGTGGGTGCTGCGCTGCCACGGCTGCTTCGCCGTCACGCGCCAGATGGACCGGCAGTTCTGCCCGCAGTGCGGCCAGGCCACGCTGACGCGCACGAGCTGCGCGACTGACGCCGCCACCGGCCAGTTCCGCCTGTTCCTCAAGAGCAACTTCCAGTACAACAAGCGCGGCAACGTCTACAGCGTCCCCAAGCCCGTGCACGGCAGCGCCAGCGGCAAGTTCTCGGCGGCGGCGCAGGGCGGCCGCGGTGGGCACAACGGCTGGGGGCGCGACCTGATTCTGTCCGCGGACCAGCAGGAGTACACGCGGCGCGTCGAGGAGCAGAAGCGGCACCGCGTGCGCGACCTGATGGACGAGGACTACCTGCCCAACATTCTGACGGGCTTCCGCAACGCCGAGTACCAGGCCAAGATGCGCGTGGGCGCCGGGCGCAACGTGAACGCCAAGAAGCGGAAGTAGGTAGAACGAAATTGCGTTTGTGGAACAAACGTTACGAAAAGCATTTGGGTTATGCGGCGTTCTAGACTTGGATTTCCTTTCTGTTTTCTTTGACAGTAATACGATTTATGGCTTTGATCACACAAGAGTGCATGTTCAAGACAAACGTTTGAATTACAACCAGAGCGCCGAAAATCATGTAGAGTAAATACAACAGGGTGTAAACACAATAAAACGCCATCCAGATTGCCCAAAAGTGTCACGGCTGAGAAGTGCAAGCATCCACTGCCCCATCGCCCGTGATTTTTAATACCGCCCCATCTTCCTTGTTCCCTCGCGAGTTGTGAGGTGTCCGGTTGGTGTCGTTCCGGTCGGGTAGAAGCGAGAGTCGACTATTGTTGTTAGCACGGTCTCGTCTCATCTCACTGTCTCTGTCCTCTGTCGGCCATTTCTTACCTTGATGAATATCTTCACTTCTTCGACAACGTCCGCCAAATAGAGTCTGTCGACACGAGTGTCGTCGATTACCCAACCAAGCGTGTCGAGTAGAATGATGGACGTCCTGGTGGTTGTGCCGAGAGAATGGCGGTCGATGGAGTGGTTGTCTCGCTTCGCTCGTCAGGAGCATGTCAGGAGACTGTTGAAAGAATCATCGTCGCCTCGCTCCGCTCGTCGACTCAACTGCTCGCTCGCAGTCTACTTCTCCAGCTTCAACAGACCAAACCGCCGCTTCAGCGTCACCCGTTGGCGCGACCACTTGTCGTCGGGCGAAAACCGCGCCGGATGAGCCGACTTGGTGACTTTGCCCTCGGCCGTCAGCTTCTTGAGCGTGTAGAGACGCTTGCCGCTGGCATCGACGGTGCACATGAGATGCATTTTGAATGTCGGGGGCGTTGCGGGATGGGCAGTGGTTGTGGTCGTACTGTGGTGTGGTCGGTGATGGTTGGTGGTTGGTGATGAAATTGAATGTGGTTTGATGATGGACAATTTTGCTGGATTCCTAAAATTTTAAAAGTGGAACCAAGTGTGAAGTGGCCAGTCAGCGTCCGACGACCGATAAGGAATGGACATTATCTTATCGATGTTGTGGGTCTACATGTCCCACTTTTTACTTACACCGTTTTGGAAGAACGAAGAGTACTTCTGTACAACATATTTCGTAGATGCAGAGTTGGACGTATGCTGTTTCTCCATGTTGGTTTTCTTGTGTTTCTTTGTGCTGGCTCTCTTACTCCCTTTCAGTAAACCAAAATGTATAAATTAACTATAAGGAGTGACGAGAAATGGATCCGTCCATGTACTGTTTCTTCAAAGAAAACGGAAACAAAAGGAAAGAAAAGGTGCAAAGCAAACCGTGACATATCCAAAGATCATAATTCCTTCCAGTCATACATTCCGTCGTTAATGAGAGTCGTTCGAGTGGGCTAGAGTCTTTCAAGTGCTCTCCAAAAAAAGCAATGAAAGGCCAAAGTTGTGTAGATGCGGTACTAGTTTATCCCTTTTTTTTGTAGTTTTCTCGTCTTGCTTCTTGCTCATTGTCCCTTTTAAAAGGCACCGTCTCACGCAAAGAAACTCTTGATGCTGTTCACCCACCGGCGGTATGTGCCGTAGCTCCCGTAGCCGCCCTTGGGCGGAGGGTAGTCGCCGTAGCTTGCGTAGCTGCCCTCGGGAGGATAGTCGCCGTAGGACGCATAGCCGTCGGCCTTCTTCTCTCCGCGCTTCTCCTTGTACGCACCGTAGCTGCCATAGCCGCCCTTGGGCGGCGGGTAGTCGCCGTAGCTCGCGTAGCCGTCGACCTTGTTGCCCTCGTCCTTGCCGTCGCCCTTGAGGGCACCGTCGCCCTTGTAGTCGCCGTAGCTGACGTAGCCGTCCTTGGGCGGCGGGTAATCGCCGTAGCTGGCGTAACCGTCGGCCTGCTTCTCGCCGCGCTTCTCTTTCTTGTAGGCGCCGTAGCTACCGTAGCCGTCCTTGGGAGGCGGATAGTCACCATACGAAGCATAGCCGTCCTTGGGCGGCGGGTAGTCGCCATAGCTGGCATAGCCAGCAGCCTTCTTCTCGCCGCGCTTCTCCTTGTAGGAGCCATAGCTGCCGTAGCCGTCCTTGGGAGGCGGGTAGTCACCGTAGCTGGCATAGCCGTCCTTGGGCGGCGGGTAGTCGCCGTAGGTGGCATAGCCAGCGGCCTTTTTCTCGCCGCGCTTGTCTTTCTTGTAGGAGCCGTAGCTGCCGTAGCCATCCTTGGGCGGAGGATAGTCACCATACGAAGCATAACCGTCCTTGGGGGGCGGGTAGTCGCCATAGCTGGCATAACCATCACCACGGGCGGCGACGGCGTCAGCTGGGGGGGCGCCTGCAGCGGGAGCAGGCGCGGCAGCAGGTGCGGCCAGAGAGGGGGCCGCGAGCACGGCGGCGGAGAGGAGGACAGCAGCCTTCATTGTGAGGGGGGGAGTGGAGGTGAGTAGGGAGTGATTATTTTGGGAAGGTATGAGAGATGAGGGATGCGAAGGTGGTTAGGATGAAAGAAGACGGAGGTGAGGATAATGATGGAGGGAAAGGCTGGGGAAGACGGGTTTATATGGATGAGGGAGAGGTGAGAGGTGAGGAGTGAAGTGAGGAAGAGAGAAGAGAGAGGAGGGAAGAGAAGAGGGAGAGAGAACAGAGAGAGAACAGAGAGACGAGTGAGGATGAGAGAGCGAGAGGATGAGAGAGAGTGAGGAGGCGGAGCAGGCGAGGTCGGCTTCAGCATTACGTGACCCGAGACAAACAAGACCAAGACCACGGCCAACGCAGCGACGGAGGATGACAACGTGACTGGGCCAGATTACCAACGAGGAAAAGAAGGACGGATGCAAAGCCGAGAAAGAGTACACTGTACACAGTCGTAGAGGGAACAACACGCAGATGCATCTCACATGTCACATCCGGCTGGTCCCTCGCTGCACACCCTCCCACTGTACGCTGTACACCCCCCTCGCGTCTTGGGTCTCGTTCAATAGTCTTCCAAAAACGGAACTGGGCGTCTCGAACGGGACCGCGGGTTGCCAGACTCGGATCAAAAGGGGACACGACATGCACTCGACAGTCCTTTGACGGACACTGCAGGACAAAGCTTTTGCTGGGGCCGACTAACGGCACCAGTGAAGAAGTACAGGACCATGTCAAAGCTGGTCCGAGATGGGCGTACTAGACACAAAGTCAATGCGAGATTGTAAACGCACAAGCAGCAACGACCTCGCGCTGTTGACCTGTTTCGACAGCGGCTGCCATCTTTGCCCGGCTCCTGATGGCACGTTTCGTCGTCTTCCGGGGACATCGTTGCGTTCACAGTATGGATAAGTAGAGTTGATGTTGATGTTTATGTTCTTGTTGGCGTTGGTGGTTTCGATCGATTCCAGCTATTGGTTGTTGGCGGCGAAGCGGCCGTTTGTCTTGCCTGTTGGTTGTTGGTGCTGATGTCAGCAACAAGGTCATAGACGGTCATAGAATCTGCATGTACATGTTCGACATTGTTCGACATTGTTTGCCATTGTTGGACATTGTTTGTGGCCGTACGGTTAGAGTAGGGTCCTGCAGAAGACACGATCGGAAGCACAGCACGAGTGACAATTTCACAATCACATTTTTTACTCGGAATACGAGAGTCGAGTGAAATGGAACATGCCTTGGTGGAGAGTGATTGTTGGTGGTTTAGTATCTTTGGAAGCGAAGCGTCTCCCTTGTTGCCGGTTTGGAGAAGTAAAAGGGCCTCCACTACAGACGGCTTCACGGCAAAGAGCTACGCCGCAGTCCGGCGTTTGCAGGCGATGGCCGACGAAGAACAGAAGGAAGCACTACGACGAGCAGTAGAACGGCAAAGTGGGACTGTCCGTGGCTTGTTGTGGAGTCGAGTCCTCTTTTTTTGTTTATGGTTATTTCTTACTTTCTCATTATTGATTATTTTCCTCCGTCTCCTCGTCAATACGAGACGCATGCAGGCTGCTGTTCAACTGACGTCGTTTTTGCCGATCGTCTTAGAATACGACAAATTGAGGCAGAGGCGTTGATGCCAAGAGTTTTCGGTTTTCTGCAAGTAAAAAAAGAAAAGAAAAGACAAAAAGAAATAAAATAAAGTAAAATATATTAAAATAAAACAAAATAAAAAATAGCGTCGGAGAGCAGTCGGGCAGGAGACTTGCAAAACAGAAAGACGAAAAGAAATACACGGCCATTGCAGGCGCCGGACGGGCCGTGGGGTTCCATGAGGAATAAAGAACAAAAGAAGATTCATACAAAAAGAGAGGAATTACGACATGGAATAGAAAGAGAACGTGCACTGCAATTCGGTAGTACTCCGTATGGTATCACTGTATGCTGTATGTTGCGTCCCTCCACTCGGCTCAGCCCTGCCCCACAGCGGGCGCTACAGGAGGTCATGCCCTGCAACAGCACATGCGGAGAAGTTCAATACGAGGTGGAGTTAGAAACCGGGGAATTGCCAGCAGACTCGCATGCCGTCCCGTCCAGCTCGTATTACCAAACCTTTATTCTGTGAATTCAATATTTCGTAGAGGACGCATGCCAAGCAATGACGTTTGTCGACGGTTGGCTTGTCGTGTTGATCCTCTTCTTCATATCGCCATCCTTGAGGCGGCAATGATCGAAAATGGCGACATGGCACCGTTGATTACAGAACACAGCCCCGTTCACCTCAGTTGGACAAGAGTACTTGATGCTCACTCTCACGTCGTCCGCGTCTTGCCGGCTCTTTTCACGCCTTGCGCCACAGATCGACACTGTGCATGTCTCTTTGTACTCAGTCTGTACTCACTCTTTGTACTCCTCTTCCTACCAGTCTTGGCAGCATACGCCTCGTATTTTAACGGCGAAGCATGCCTCCATGCGTTGCTCCCATCCGTTCACAACCCGTGATCGTGGTTCGCGATACCTCTTGTCCTGTGTTCAGATCGACAAGATCCTGCCTTGGTTGTATCCGTGTTACCATCTCAGCTGACAAGAAACAGCTGACACGAGACAGCGCCACGACAGCGACAAAAGACACGACAAGAGACAACTGCAAGAGACAGATACAATGCAGCACAAAGAACGACATCTGGCCCATGTCTTCCGAATCAACCCCGCAACTCGTATTCCCAGCCGACGAAATAAATCAAGGAACGACGATGCATCACGGTGAGATGGCTGATGTATTGGAGAAGCGAGGATGCACGATTGGAGCTTTGCTGCCACTACGGCTCAACTACACCTGCAGCAAGCTCCTTGACTCCACAAAAGGCTAAAAGCAAACCGGCAATTGGGCCGGCGATGCACCGGCAGGGAGCCAAGAGAGGCTGTAAATAGCAGAGACGTGGTGAGGATCCGTCACAATGCATGTAAGCTGAGGCAAAGCGCACCGAGTGGGAGGACAGCACTCCAACCTGCTGCAGCAACCGATCCTGCGATCGTGAGGAATCCGTATTGGTCGAGAAGAAGTCGCTAGGCGGTGCAGAACGAAGATCGGCGTCACTCCGCACCAACAGGACAACCTTTGCTTGGATGTCTACTTTCGATCCCGATTCCACCTACAGGTCTTCAAGTCGTAAAGGTTACATCCACAGCCTCCGTGGAGCTAAATGTATAAAAATAAAGCAACGAGAAAAGGTAAGAAAAAGAGAAGAAGAAAGAAAAAAGAAAACACCAGCAAAAGGAACCGGGCTGCCTGCATGGCTAACCGACCTGATATGTGTTGTCATGTCGCCCATTCGGCACCAACGACGCACTAGCACCAATAGGCGCTACAGGGCATTACAGGGCGTCCTCACTAACACCGACCAAAGAGGCAAGTTCAAAGAGGCAAGCTTAAAGGCAAAAATAGAATATTGACTCGACACCGAGGACTTGAACAGACGGGCGACACGACGGTTCTGTCCAAGAGAAATAAACCAAAGCGGGAAGACGGTTTCTGTAATAAAGGAATGAAAAAAGAAAAAAAAGATGCCCAACAAAACTTGAGTTTGTTCTGAGTCTCTCTTCTTCCTCTTCTTTTTCTTCCCATTCTTTCTACTCTTCCTCTTTCAGTCCTTTTACTTTCTATTCCCCTTCGTCTCTCATATTCACATCCAGTTCAACCTCACCTCACGTCATTGGCATTGACACGGACATCCCTCTCTCGCCGTCGCCTTGTCTACTTTCTTCTCCGTTGTCCCCTCCTTCCCTCCTCTCAGCACCACAACTCCCTCACTCGTTCTGTCACCTCTCCCCGTCACCTCACCTCACTCCTCCCACAATGCCCTCCGACTACCGTCCCATCCGCCACTCCGACGACGACGAGGCAGATGCCGGCGAGGCCACCCGCTTTATCGGGTCCGAGACGTCGTCCGAAGGAGGCCATCCGCGTGGCCGTCTCTCTGAAAAGCATCCCTCATCGACGTCGACCGGCGCCGCCCGCTGGAAGCGAGCCTGCATCGTCGTCGCCGTTTTGGGCCTGACCAACGTCGCCTCGCTCGTCGTCGGGGCCCTCGCCGGGCGCTTTTCGGCATACGCGCCGCGCCGCCTCGACGCCCAGTGCGCCGCCCACACCACGCAGTACTCGCCCGTCCTGGACGACGTGCACATCCAGTACGCGCCCGTGCGGTTCAACGGCTCGTTTCTGGAGGAGAGCGTGTACCGCCGGCCGGGCGCGCCCGAGGTCGACGCCGCCTGGGCCGCGCTGGGCGTCGACTACCGCGCGGGCGTGATCCCCGCGGCCGCCGGCCCGCCCAGCGGCCTGTCGCCGGACACGCACGTGCAGCGGGCCGACCGCTACGGCGGCGGCTACGTGGTCAACGTCGAGGGCATGCACCACCTGCACTGCCTCAACCTCGTGCGCCAGGCGCTGTGGTACAACTACGACTACTACCGGGGCCTCGGCCACCACGCCTTCCGCAACGACGACGCCATCCTCGCCAAGCACGTCAGCCACTGCGTCGACATTCTGCGGCAGGTGCTCATGTGCAACGTCGACACGGGCGTGCTGGGCCAGGTCTGGTACACCGACGCGGCCGGCGCGCCCGCCGCGTTCCCCGACTTCCACACCACCCACACGTGCAAAAACTACGACGCCGTGCGCCAGTGGGCCGAGCAGCTGCAGGCGCCGCCCAACGACGCGCTGCCGCCCGACTACCTGCAGCCGGCCCGGCCGGGGTTCATTCTGCCGTCGACGCCATAGGGGGGTGGTTGTACAGCGATGATGTGTTTTGTTTCTTCAGTTATCAGTTTGGGACGCTTTGCATTCATGAATTATGACAACATTTATACTAGTCTTGGTCACATGGTCAGGTGGAACGTGTTATTTAATACTGTTTATTAACGGGATGAACCTACACAGTTGAACAAGAATGAGATGGTCTACAATGGGGCAGAGTGCCACGTCGCTACGTCTTGCCATGGCCACGCGGTATCTACGCTGAAACGCTGCAGATCTATGCACGACGGGCCTCTGCCTCGTTCGCCTCGACCGCCTCGACCGCCTCCTTGCGCGTGGCCGCTGCGCACGGCGGGCACAGATCTGCCGACGTGTACAGCAGAAACGGCTGGAACGACACTTCGCCGCAGACCGGGTCCGGCACCTGCACCTTGTGCATGCAGTGGGCAGCGACGGCCCACGCGGCCTGGGGCAGCCTGCTGGCCTTGACGGAGTGGCCACACCCGGCATACTGGCACATCCAAAAGTAGAGACACATTGTGAATGATGGACGAGAGCTGATAAAGGGTTAGAGAGGATGAAAGAGCTGTCTGGGGATCCAGGAGCTCGAGAGATGAGAGAGTGAGTTGCGGGAGAAGGAGAAGGAAATAAATTGCGGTGAAGATGACATGGACTGCGATTATATACTGCATTGTGGACTACGAGATATCGCGAGGTTGTTCGTGATCCAACTTGAAGTGTATTGACAGGTCTTTGAACAAAGATCTCTGACCAAAGGTCTTTGCGATGTGATTTGGTGACGGGCACTGAACAAGAGAAGTGTGGACAGACATATGACATTGTGTGGTGAAATGCAGTGAACAGCCAACGACTCTGTACAAAGTGAGTGTAAAAGCATAAAGCATTGTAGTCGAAATGGACTTGTTTGGCCATCTACATTGTGTACATTATAAGTTGGAGACTGTAGTGACTTACGGCACTCTGGCACGATTGTTTTTATGATTGTTTTTCTGATTGTTATTATGATTGTTGTTATGATGGTCTTTTCAGTTTATTACATTAACCTCTCTTGTCCAACAACATTACGCCGTCGACTAACCCATCCAAACATGAAACAACTACTTCCACTACTTCCTACACGCTTCCCAATCAAAGACAACAATGCCCCCAGCATGACCGGACTTCTTTAAATCCGGACTTTATCGTATTTCTCCGTTCCTGGTTCTGGCCCTGCTCCGTGGAAAGTAGACTGGGGAACGGAGCATTCAGAGTCATCAGCTGAGTCATTGTCGTTGCCGAGTGCTCTGATGGCCGACTGCATGGCACCCGTGAAGAATTGTCTCGGCGCTGCCCGTCAAAAGCACGATCTTTGCACGACAGCTGCACGGCCTTTACAAAGCGATCGCCTCTTCAAGGATCTCTCCGCTTTCACCTCTGCCGACTCGGCGGCCACATCGACTCCACCACGCTGGTCTCGCTCAGGCAGCCGTTCCCGTTTGGAGCGTAGCGGGTGGAGGTGGTGAGCGGGTCGTGGCGCCCATCGCGGCCGACACGGCACCGAAATGGTGCGATGAAGGAGTGCGCTAAACGCGATCCTCATTAGACACAAAGTCAAACAAGTGGGAACATCGCCGGCCATTTTCAACGACACGCTGGAGTTAACTTGCCGTTGGCAACGACTTATCTCCTGGTCGTCATGGAGGATCGCGTGCGTTTGCTTGCGTGCGTATGCTTGTATTGTGGTTCTTTTCTTTTTTTTTCCTTCTTCATTTCCGTGACAACAAAATTGTCCACTCTCAATGGCCAACGAACAACATGATGCAACACCGCTAGACTAGCCAGGGCTTCCTTGGACAGGCCGTCGTCGGCTGCAGCCTTGTTCCTCAGACTGAAATGAGGAGAAAAAGAAATTTGTAACAGACCTAGTGGTGCCGCGTTCCCGTGTGTTGTCGGCATCATTGCAGCCCTGTCTTTCTTTTTTTGTCGTCTTTTTTTTCTTCGTTTCCTCTCAACACCCCATGTCCTCCGGCTTTATCAATGCCTTTCTCCGCTCTCCTTTCCGTCGGACCTCCTTTGCATTATCACGGTCTAGATTCCAGTAAATTCTCCGCTCTCCGTTCCATGATTTCCATACAAATATAGACCAAAGACGCTGTCCATCGTCCTACATTTGAGCGTCTGCAGTCTCTGCAGTCTTTTCAGCCGGCAACCCGTCATCCAGAATTACCCACAGCCCGGTTCTTGGGTCGATTTATATAGCTTGTTGGTACAGCATATTGTTGAATCAAACGACTACAACTACAACCAACATGGCACCGGCCGACACAAAGGCCGATCCGGCCACTGCATCCACAACTTCGACGACAGCTGCCGACGCAGACGATGCTCTGTTTCTGCGCCAGTCCGAGCCATACAGAAGCGACGAGAAGGACGGCCACGACGACCACGACGACCACGACGACCACGACGATCACGACAATGTGGTCAAAGACGAGACGGCCGTCAAAGACGAGGCGGCTGTCACACCAGCCCGCTCAGGCTCGGCCACGTCGACATCGACCGCGACAGCCCGCTCCAACGACATCCACGTCGGCAGCACCGCACCACCACCGCAAGGCGACGCATCCACCACAGACGCCGTAGCGGACGCACCGCCAAATCCCAATGCCGCTGGCGACCTCGAGAAACAAGCGGCGGCCGCCGAAACCGTCCCGCCGCGCTACTCCGTCCACTCCACCTGGGCCAAGCGCTGGATCGTCCTGGGCGCCTCCCTCGGCGCCTTCATCTCGCCGCTCACCGGCCAGATCTACCTGCCCGCCCTCACCGAGATCGCCGCCTACTTCCACATCACCGACGGCCAGGTCAACCTCACCGTCACCACCTACATGATCTTCCAGGGCGTCACGCCCATGTTCCTCGGCGGCATGGCCGACGGCATCGGCCGCCGCCCGACCTTTCTGCTGTGCTTTGTCATCTTCATTGCCGCCAACATCGGCCTGGCCCTCTGCCGCAACTACGCGTCGCTGCTCGTCGTGCGCATGATCCAGTCAGCCGGCTCTGCCAGCACCGTCGCCTTGTGCCAGGCCGTCGTCGCCGACATTGTCAGCAGCGCCGAGCGCGGCCAGTACATTGGCATCACCATCATCCCCATCGTGTTCGCCCCGAGCCTGGGCCCCGTGCTGGGCGGCGTGCTGTCCGAGTACCTGGGCTGGCAGGCCATCTTTTGGTTTCTGGCGATTGTGGGCGCCGTGCTCGGCCTGGGCCTGGCCTTTTTCCTGCCGGAGACGTGCCGCAAGATTGTTGGCGACGGGTCCATCCAGCCGCACCCCTTTCACCGCACCGGCTACCAGCTGGTTAAGGACGCGCTGGCCCGCCGCAAGGCGAACGGCACGGTGGCCCAGGACAACCACGACACCGCCGCCGCGCGCCCGCCGCTCCGCATGCAGGTGCCCAACCTGACGCTGTCCGTCCAGCTGGCCCTCCAAAAGAACATTGGCCTCCTCCTGCTCTACTCGAGCCTCCTCTTTGCCGGCTTCTATGCCATCGCCACCAACCTGCCCGCCAGCCTCCAGGCCTACGGCCTGTCCCAGCTCGAGATTGGCCTCTGCTACCTGCCCATCGCCGCCGGCTCCATCATGGCCGCCTTTGCCGTCGGCCCGTTCATCAACCGCAACTACCGCCGCCACGCCGCCCGCATCGGCGTCGCCGTCGACGCCGCCCGCCAGCAGGACCTGTCCAACTTCCCCATCGAGCAGGCCCGCCTCGAGACCGGCTTGCCCCTCTACTACCTCTCGTCGGCCATCATGCTCGTCTGGGGCTGGGCCCTGCAGCGGCACGCCCACCTCGCCGTCCTCTGCGTCCTGCTGTTCCTCAATGGCGTCGGCATGATTGGCTTCCAGAACGCCGCCAACGCCCTGCTCGTCGACATCACCCCCGGCCGCGCCGGCGCCGCCGTCGCCGCCAACAACCTGACCCGCTGCCTCATCGGCGCCGTCGCCACCGCCGTCATCAACCCCATGATCGCCGCCATGGGCATCGGCTGGGCGTTTTTCCTCATCGGCGCCCTCTACGTCGCCGCCTCGCCGGGCCTCTTTCTGCTCATGTTCAAGGGCGTCGCCTGGCGCCGCCGCGCGCGCGAAAACGCCGAGCGGCGCCAGCAGCGGCGGGCCGAGCGCAAGGCCCAGAAAGAGGCCCAGAAGGCAAGCAGGGCGGCGACAGGATCATGATGTGTCGTATTTTGTTTTCTCTCGTTTTATACCATTTCTGTTTTGATTTTTTTTTTCCAATTTGGATTTGCGACTTTTTCATACATCTGGCGTTATGGAAATACGTGGGACTCGTCCTGGCGTCGGGTCGGAACCTGTCGTGATCGTCGGTCTGCGACGGTGTGAGATGTGAGATGTGCGATCAGCGTTGATAGGAGTACGGAGCACGGCGTGGCTGCAGAGTAGAAACAAAAGGTTACATTGAACAGGAGTCCGCGGGAGACGGAAAGACAAGATACGAATACATTGCTACATTTTACACGTGGCTGCTCCAGTCGTGAGAACAGCAGGAGCACAGTTGCGACTTCCTGTTTTGGAGGCAACGGACAGACCGACATGGACGTCTACAGGGAAAGATCGACTGTTGTAAAAGACGTCTTCTCGCCGGACAAGGCAAAGTACTCTGTACAACATACTCCGTAAACACACTCCGTAAACCGTCACCTCATGAGAATTGTCTCAAGACACAAGACGCAATCGCTGAACCAAATTCTGTTCAACCCAAATTCAGGAGCACGGCACGGCACCCAAACAACGCGTGGTCCCCCCACGCGCAACAAAAAGGCGGCGAGGCAAGTCCTCAAGGAGGAGGGCGTGGGGGCACCTTCCCACCGTCTCTTTCTCTCTCTCTCCTTCCCCTTTCCACCTCCTCCCCTCCCATGCTCCTTCCTCCGGGGTATTGTGGTCCAAGTTCCTGCCCCCTGCCACGCCCAGGTCACACGCTGTCTGGTGTGGCAATTTCCACTTTTTGGAGAAGGTGCGAAGCACAGAGTACGGTGGACAGAAGAGGTCTTCGTTGACACACAATCACAACTAGAAGGCGCGATGAGAAGAATGGCAAAACAAAGGAAAGAACGATGTGCGTGGGATGCACCCCCTTTTCCCACGGCATTTCCCCTCCCATAACTTTGCATCCCGTCCTTGACCATCGCAACAAATCACAACAAAAAAGTCGACAAACGTAAAGCCATGCTTCCACCCCTGTCCTTCAGCAACACTCGTCACGCTAGGAGATCCCAAAAACCCAAGCAACCCAAGACTCAAGCGCACCCGCGTCCTTAGCACGACGGAGCTGGGACGAGGGGCCTACTTTGTATCTTATGTTCAACGTCTCCATCCACTCCTCCTCCCAGTCTGCCAATCTCTGCCATTTCGGTTGTATGACGACTCCTCTCCGCTGCTCTCTTCTTCCGCGCAATTCGTTAGTGTGCTTTCATCACATCCAAACCCCTGCACGGGGCGTCGCCGTACCGTCCTGTTTCCCCAGAGTCGGACAGCCAGAGCAGGACAGCAGTACAATACCCCACGTCTCGAGGGAACACAACAAAAATGGACCGCCGCCGCCGTGCCTCTGGGCAGGCAAAGCCGCCTTTCTTCTTTTCGTGACCGACTGCCTCTTGTGAGCGTATCTTGGCTTCTGTTGGCTGTTGGTCTTCGTCGCCTGCTAAGATACGTACCGGAGACCCTCGACCTGCATGCACATTTGCAGCAAATGCCCTGTCTCCAACATCCAACGCAAGAACTGCAGAAGCTCTCCGCAATGCCGTGTTTGGTACAGCCTTTTCTTTTTCTTTTCCTTTTCTTTTAAATTCCTTCATCCTTTTTTTTGTGCCGCCCCATCCCGTCCTACTCACCCCTACTGGCCCAGCTGCCAAGCTTCTGTCTCTCATCAAACTGCGTCCAAAATCAGTTCTCGAGTTTCCTTTCTTTTGACTGCTGTCTCTTGTCTCAACCTTGGCCTCCTCTTCTTTACACACAGAAAAAACCCCCCTGCTTGTATAGTACTTTGTACTTTGTACCACATTACTGCGAACTCGTGGGCAGACAGCTTCCTCTGCTCTTTTATTCGCCTTGTCCACTTTCTTCTCTCGCCTTCACAGCTCGTGCGTGTGCGTCTGCTGTATCACTTTGCTTTCCCCCGATTTACCCCATCTTTGCCCTTTTACCTCCGCTCCCATTGCGCACTTCTTCACATTTTATTCTTGTTTTTTAATCATTTTCTCGTTCAGTCATATTGTCGACAACAACCATCTTTCCGGCTTCTACTCACTTTACGGCCCCCCACCCAAGGAAACGTTGACTTGCTTTTGAACGGCCGTTTGATCATGCACGGCGCTGCGGTCCGCCGCCTGCCGGAATGTCCACCACTCACCACCACCAAGAGCAGCAGCAGCACCAGCAGCAGCAGCCGCCAACCCAGCCTCATGCTGCCCCGGGCTCTACCGCCGCCTACAAGCGCGCCAGTCGCAAGGGCGCACCTCGGCGGTATGGCTGCCGCTTTCCCGGCTGCGACAAGGTGTACTCGCGCCAGGAGCATCTTCAGCGACACCAGTTGAATCGTGAGCTCTTTCCTCTCTGTCCACGTCTACCGTCTATATTCACGTCAATATCCACGTCCACAGCCCCAGCTACTTCCACTTCCACGTCTACATCCTACGTCTAGGTCTACGTCCACTCACACAATTTAGACAACCCAAAAGAAATCTTCGCCTGCGACGTCGACGGTTGCGGTCAGCGTTTTGTCCGCGCCGACCTGCTGACCCGCCACAAGAAACGCCACTCCGGCTCCTACACCCCGCGCAACCGAATACAAAGCTTCACGGAGCCAGAACATGCCACCTACTCGTCGGGCTCTGTTGCTGTGGGCATCCTGTCGCCGCCCATCGGACTGCACGGTCACGGGGGCAGCCACATGGACGATTCACCCCAAGGCGGGCGCCCACGTACGAACAGCGCATCAGCAGGAGCAGCCGTGAACAGCAGCAGCAGCAGTGGCCACGCTGGTGGTCATGTAAACCATCCACATGCCGGTGGAGGAGGCACCGGCACCGGCACCAGCAACACGCGCCTACCATCGTTGCCATCCTTTCCACCCCACAGCGTGCCTCGCGACGCCGCCATCTTACTTTCACCCGAGTCGAACCCGGTCATACCCGTAACGACATCCATACCGGTAACAGCATCGCATGTCGGCATGGCTGGTCTGCCCAGCCACAGGAGTGGCCGTCCTCCGACAGCACCACCACCTCCAGCACCTGTGCCACTTCAGGCCGTGTCAACGACTTGGTCGTCACCGGCACCCTTGACCACGAACATGGGCGGCGACTTTATGCAAACTGACAAAACAGTGAGCTACTATCGGTCGCAAACAGCCCCCCAGCAGCAGCAGCAAGAGCAACACCAGCAGCAGCAGCAGCAGCAGCAGCACCAGCAACATCATCACCTCCAACAACAGCAGCAACAACCACAACAACAGCATCAGCAACAACTCCAGACGCAACCGCTCCATCATCCTCCGCCACAACCTCAACATCCACAGTCCTACCACCACCAACCTCGTACCCGCGACGACCCACATACCCACGCCATCGCGGAAGCGGCACCTGCTATACTGACGTTTGCCACGGCCCCCTATGCCGATCAATACTTGGAGACCCAGAACTTTGCCGACTGGCTGTTCGACGGGCGTGAAACCACGCTCAGCGACTTTAACGTTTCTCATCTCCCCTTTTTAGACGACGGTCTGGAGTCCGCCTTCAACAACAACATTGCCTACGACTACGAGTCCCTGACGAGCCGGTCGCACATTGACACGCCGCCCCGCCAGCTCGAGACCAGCGACGAAGTTGTCGGCGACCTCCGCCGCCAAGAGATTGTCCGCTTCTTCAAGGCGTGTCGTCTACAGCAGCCACAGTTCGAGGTGCGCATCCCGACACTCGGACAGGCCCTGGGCGACGACATTCCGGCGCTCAGCGCCGACATGATCCACGACACCCTCTACGAGTTCTGGGAGAACGTGTCGCCGCGCGTCCCCGTCATCCACCAGCCCACGTTCTCGTGCAATCGGTGTCCGCTGCTGTTGTTGGCCGTCATGCTCGCCCTGGGCGCCGCCTCGCGCTACGATCGTGACCAGTCTGGCAGCCTGGTTGATCTGGGCGGCTTCGCCGACATTATCATTACAAGCGCGCGCTTTGAGATTTTGACCTGCGACGAGGCCACGCCGCCCGTCAGTCTGTGGGTGGCGCAGGCGCTGCTGCTGGTCGAGTTTTATGAAAAGATGCTCTCGACACGCGGCCTGCACGAGCGGTCCCAAGTCTACCACTCGGTTACGCTCACCCTGCTGCGCCGTGGCAGCCCGCTCATCGGCCGTTCGGGGAGCGAGTCGCCGCCAGACGAGTCGCAATTGCCGTCGTTGACGGCCACCTCGCCGCCCTCAACCCTGCCACCGCATCCCCATTCGCCGCCGACACCACTGTCCACACATCAACCGCTGGGCCGGCCGCACCATCACGCGCACCCCCAGCGCCTGCACCACCAGCACCACAGCCATCGTAGCCATCGCAGCCACCATAGCCACCATAGCCACTTCCATCACCAGCGTGACGGCCAAGCCGCGACCGCCGCCGACCTGCAGGCCTGGTGGAACCGGTGGGCGGAGACCGAGGCCATGCACCGGGTCGTCTTTGTGACATTCTGTCTCGACATTGCCCATGCTGCCATGTTTGGCCACATGGCCGACATGGCGCCGCATGAGATCCGCCTCCCGCTGCCGTGCGACGACAACCTCTGGACGGCCGCCAAACCCGAGGACGTGCGGAAGCTCGACAACGACCTGCGCATGTACGGCGTGCACCCCATTACGTTTTTGGACGGCCTCAAACGGGCGGTGCACGGCATGGAGGTCAAGACACACAGTTTTGGTCGCATGATCATCATGTCCGGCTTGCTGAGCGTCGGCTGGCACCTGCGGCACCGCGAGACGCACCTCAAGTGGCTGGACCTGTCGACGGCGACGACGGCCGCGTCGGCGGTGGCCTCGGCCGAGACGACACAGACGCAGCAGGATGCGTGGCGCAAGACGCTGCTGATGGCCTTTGACGGATGGAAGGCGAGCTTTGATCACGTGCAGGATCCGGCGGTGGACGGTCTGGCCACAGCCGCATTGACAATCGCTGCGGGCG